TAACTTATTACAAAAAATAAAGATGTGGTTTTTGGTTCTACTACACCAATGGTCAAGAGATGGCGCTGTAGTCTCCTGAATCGCGCTTTGGTTCCGTTGTTCCAGATTAATAAATACTTTTTGTTACTTTATTACAAAAAATAAAGATGTGGTTTTTGGTTCTACTGCACCAATGGTCAAGAGATGGCGCTGTAGTCTCCTGAATCGCGCTTTGCTTCCGTTGTTCCAGATTAATAAATACTTTTGATAGGCCTTCACAATGCAGTCGTTAGCACTCACTAAATAGAGATTCTATTTCTATTTTGTTGGTAGATTTTCTTAATGTGCGGTAAACACAAAAGTAACGCATGAAGATGGTCGCTAAAGCGACATAATAACATAATGGTTAAAATTTTGTGTTACAGTGATGCGCGCGCATCTTAAAATTTCACTCTCATCATTTTTTCATAACGCGCCTAAAGAAGTATAACTTCAAAAAAACAAAGCGCAAAATAAACACAGTCACAGATTGGAAATAATTTGAATATGTCAGTTACTGACTTTATAACAACGCAATGGAACGTTTTAGAAGGTTTGCTACGATTTAACAAGATGGCGTTGCCATCAATATGAGGCGCTTATCCAAAATTTTAAAGGTATCGATACTTGCCAAAAAGTACTCATTTAGTGAAAGTATCGAATGCAAAGTATCGAGTACAAAAGTATCGGTATCGAAAGGAAAAGTACTCGATACCACAAAGTATCGATACTTTTTTCGTGTCCCTAGGCACGACACGCACTTAGCTGGTTTTTATATTATTGTTTTTTTTATATACGAGATGCAACAAATTGCCCCACCCTTTCAATTTTAAAAGGGGGAGATGTGGGCTATGATTTTTCCATAGAAATGTTTTCGACTGATTGCTCCTTGATTTTTATCACTAAAGAAATGATTTTCTTTTTACATATAATATAATTTTATTCATTCTATGCACCTATGTCTTCCTTTTTTCGATAACTTGTTTTTTCAAAGAAACTACATAGAAGCCCTTAAAAAATGCAAGAAATAAACAAATTTTAATCGTAGCTGTGTAAAGCCGTCTAGTGTGGAGAATTAATAAGCATTTACAAAAAATGAGAATATAAAGGCCTACTATAACTACTATTCTATGGGTAAAAGGACACCCGGCATTTTGTGCCAAAGTTGTATACTTTTTTAATTTTTTTATCTGTGTTTCATAATTGGGTAACGTAGTCTGTCAATATTTGTCATCAGCAGCTAGCTGTCAATGTCAAATACGTAGGTTGTCAATATAACCTCTATATGTAGCCGGGTCGTCAAGAGAAATAACGGATAAAAAGGCAATCACAACAGAGAACATTCACAATCACAGTACGCGGGAGCGGATGCGAAATGCGAATGATTTTTTTGTTTGTATTTTAGGATTGTCAAATTGACATTTGGTTTTTTTATTTAGAAAATGCAAAGGAATCATGGTTTTTACAGTCACTTGACTAATATTTTGAATTAAAATTCTGTCCCTTGAAGATTTAGGGTTTCCATATCAAAAAATATTAATCATTATATAACTTCTTTCCACGAATCACTAAAAATAAGGCAAAAGTAGTTTTATGTAGCAAATAATTTTGGCTTTATTTTGAGACCAAATTCAACTGTATACAAGTTTAGCATTTTTTCTATGAAAAGTGCCGGGTCTCCTTTCTTTACATATAATCGTCGAGAGCTAAACTCCGCGAATTTTGCAATTTTTATATGCAACTAGCTGTCCCAGCGACCTTCGTACGGCTTTAAAAAATATTGCGTCCAAATAAAAAAAATTAAGAGTGGACCTTTAACATTTAGAGGGATGAAAAAAAGATGCTGTTCTTAACGTCTCGACCGATATTGAACTCAATTACGCACACCGTGACAAATGAATTTTATATATTAGACTAGCTGACTCGGCGAACTTCGTACCGCCCAAAAGTAATAATTTGCAATAAATTAAAATTGCGACTATAATTTGAGATTTAAACTATCCTATCTCTCAAGTTGGATCGAACTGCACATGGTGTGCGAATTTTATTATAATCGGTTCAGTGGTTTAGGAGTCCATTGAGGACAAACATTGTGACACGAGATTTATATATATTAAGATTTTCAGCGTACCAAACCAAAGCGCGACAGCAATTGTTTTTGCAAATATCTCTTTCACAAATGTCTCACAGATCGCGTCAAAAATATTTATGCAAATATATGTACTTAACAATATCAATTTGAAATTATGTACTCACTTGTAACCGCCCATAGCTACGTCCGCGTAAACTTTACTTTTTGAGAATTCTTTTTTGAGAATAAAAAATATCCTATGTCTCAATCCAGGTGAATGAGTAACAAACAGGCAAACACACAAGCATAGCTGTAGTATTTAGCTGAGGCAAGGATCTAGTCTATGAGGAGCTCGATGGCGCAAGTGGTTAGCGCGTTCGGCTGCGATCGTTGAAGTTAAGCAACTTTCGCAGTGGTCGGTTATTGGATGGGTGACCAAAAATTTACTATCTCGAGTTCCTCCGTGCTTCGGAAGGCACGTTAAGCCGTTGGTCCCGGCTGTATCTGCAGTCGTTAGCACCCGCCAATCCGCACTGGGTCCGCGTGGTGGGTCATGGCCCAATCTCCCTATTCCATCCATAGGGAAGGCCTGTGCCCCAGCAGTGGGGACATTAATAGGCTGATGATGATGATGATGATGAAGGATCTAGTTGGCCTGTCTTGCTCTGTCTTCTGTTTTGGAAATATATTTTTAAGGCCAATAACATTTCTTTCTTTTTTTCATACAAACTTTCACATTCATAATATTTAAAATAGTTTGTCAGATATCAACTTTGGTTACATAAGGTTAGTTCCATAGACCTATATTGCTATATCACTCGCAAAGTATGTGATAACGATGAGTTTAAATAATTTATAACACCATAAATAATGGACATTAATTTTATGAGACACATGCGAACCAGCTGATTCACTTTGACAAACCTGAATTTGATTCACGTGCAAAGTTCATAGTAACCGATAAAAAAATCTAAATAATTATAATTATTGATTAGGTCAGGTCCCCCTACATGATTTGCATTCCATATTATAATAGACTAGCAAACCAGTGAACCAAATGTTCACCAAAACCTGATTTCTCGAAAACCGGAAGTGCTACGTTACACAAATCCGGTTTGAAGTCTTATCAGACTATTCTTAACTTATAACTTAAATATTCTCTTTATCTATCTCTTACGGTTTGGCCGCTGAAACAGCGCCACAGACAGACGGACGGACTTGTCTAATAGATAAGAGATTAATTAATGCATGATATACGAATGGAACTTAACTCGAATGGATATAAATTAATTCACACCTAAAATTATTGCATAAAACCAGTAAAAAAAATATAATTAAGTATTTTATTTATTGAAACATCTGGGGTTCTAATATTAGTATTTTTATTGCTTTGTAAAAACATCAACACATATCTTGGTAAAAGTTGTTGCTTACCAATCAGCTTTAAATATAAAAACAAAAGCGGTTTTGATATGTGGTTATTAATTTTTAGTCCTGGATTTGAAAAAAAAGTAACTTTGTCTGTTTTATTATTTTTAATTTAAACATTTAGCAGTAAAATGAATTAGTCCCCTAACCGAGTTAAAAGAGGTGAGATTGTCAATTTCTCAGTGTTTGTTTAATACTGATTTGTGTTCGACATATTAAAGACAGAATTCCAACTTTGATAGAGTAACTCAAAACTTTAACAATAATTTATTCAAGTGATGTACACGTGTTTCTGGCGAGACAAAATAACTTCAAAAACATTGTGAACAGTATATTGTTTAATAATAATAACAAAGCTTAATTTGAATTATCATAATTTTCTCTGTGGGTATGGCTTTATGCTTAGTTTTATACTTCTGTGTTTCACATCATCATCATTATCAGCCTATTAATGTCGCCACTGCAGGGGCACAGGCCTTCCCTATGGATGGATTAGGGAGATTGGGCCATGACCCACCACGCGGGCCCAGTGCGGATTGGTGGGTGCTAACGACTGCAGATGCAGCCGGGACCAACGGCTTAACGTGCCTTCCAAAGCACGGCGGAGCTCGAGATAGTAAATTTTTGGTCACCCATCCAATGACCGACTACTGCGAAAGTTGCTCAACTTCAACGACCGCAGCCGAACGCGCTAACTATGTTATGTAACATGTTTCACATGTTATTTTAAATTAATCTACAGCCTCGTGAGTGGTTTTGATAAAGAATATTTTTTTTTATTGTACTTGTAAAAACTGTGTAAACCTTATCAATGATACATCATTTTGTTTTATCCTTTGTTTTGAGCCCTTTGTTTTCCATGAATAAATAAATAAATCAAGTATTTGGATCAATAATTGGTAACCAATAATAATATCTTCCATTTCAAATTGGACGTATTTTACTTAATCTATTTTTCACTAGAAAGATAGATAGATAGATAAAACTTTATTCACACCAACATGCACACATACAAAATTGAATACAAATTTTACAATTATACCTATAAACCCTCCACTAACGACTAGACCAGGCTTTGCACGTGTGAAATTTACGAAAATATATGTAATTATTGTATATTAAGACAAATTTCATGAAGTTTATAGGTTATTTAAAGGATTTTTTGTTATGGGACGAATTTGTTTTTTGTAGTATAAAACTATTTCAGTATTTTTTTTTATTAGTTCTTAACCATAAGAAATACATTCACAAAAATCCCAAGTAAATCTATAACGATAGTTCAGTGGTTAGATCACTTGACTTGAATCGTTTCAATCCTACCGTTTACGGTAAACAAATTTGAACCAAAGAAAAAATAAACAATATAAAACCAAATATAAAAACCTACAATACCTTTTTTGTTAAAAATATTTCAATCGAAATAATTAAAAAAAAAATTAATGCTTAATCAAAAACTATGATACAATGACACAGAGACACTTGCCTATATTTTATTCAGCTCACAGAAAATAGTCCACAATTCACTTTTGATATATTATTAAATTTTCCGACCCATTCGTACCACGTCTGAGACCAAAAGTTACTAAACCCTCTAGGATTGCCGCCAACAGTTTTAAGACCACCTTGTGGCCTTGACAGTGAGAAGTAATACGAGTCGAGAACACCAATTTAACCGGATCCCTTTTCGGGAAAAAGCTCTAAGGAAACCGAGGGTCAAACTAAATTGACACGAAAAAACCAACTTTCGAAAGAGCTGCGAACAATATGCAACCACTTAGTACTGAGGGATCTATTGTTTTGGTAATCGAAAACAGTTAAGCAAGAACTTTGTAGTGTAATATCGATACAAATAATGAGAGATCAATGAGAAACAGACGCTGTTACCATTTTAAATAGACACATCGAAAGTTGCAGTACTGCAGCAATTGGGAGCTCTACTTAAACTTGTCGATATTAACTAGTTAGAATGCCATCACGTTTATTGAACTGTTAAAGATGTAGGAAATAATTTCGGTTATGCTTTATTATTTAAAGATTACGAGGAAACAATTAATAATGGACTTTTTTCTGTTTATGAATAATGTGTTTGACTAGGAAAGGGAACTACTGTGTATTAAACATTTGTACGCAATTTGACGACCTTAGGGCTCATAAAATGTCACAGTGTCATTACGTAAAGTACATAATGCTGTGGATTCTGGCATGATTGTCTAAACCGAAACTTAAGTTTGTCAACAGTGTATCCTTGTCATTCTCTATACAGACTGAAAAGGGGGGACTGAAGTTAAATTAAGTTTTAAGTTTAGACATAACCATGCCAGTATCTTCACCGCTGTTATCTTGTAGTTTTTGAATACTTAGCAGTTAATAGTAATAAGTTTAGAATTTTTTGGAGATTTATTTTAGACCCGCCCTCGCTTCGCTTCGGTATTTTATTCCCTAGGGTAAGATTGATCAAAATCCTTTCTTAGCGGATGCCTACGTCATAACATCTACCTGCATGCCAAATTTCAGCCCGATCCGTCCAGTGGTTTGGGCTGTGCGTTGATAGATCACTTAGGTCAGTCAATCAGTCACCTTTGAGTTTCATATATATAGATTTTGTTAGATAAAACTCAAAAAAAGTTATGTATGATGTTTTCTCACAAATGTGTTGAAAAACTTTGTATCTCGACTTCGTCTCGGGCTTACATTCGTGTACTCGTTTGAGTCATTTTTGTAAAAAGAAGATAAATAGAAAATCTCAGCAAAGTTTAACTTCCGAGAAAGTATAGTCTGTCAAAAGAAGTATGAATAATAAACGTAATTCTAATTTCAAAATACCTTCTTTGCTGTCTGTGTGTACAAATGAATAGTCTATGTTTGTTTTAGAGATTTTGCAATAAATCATATTAGTGAAAAACTCGCAAAAGAAATTTCTTGTTCTACAACCACAGAAATATTGTGAAATCTAACGCAGTCAAAACACATCAACTCATTTTAAGCCGCACATTTAGTCATTCGCGTAGGCTATATTTTAAATAATTTAAGCATGTAACTGCTAGATGTTTAAATCGAAAGAAAATTGTACTAATAAAAAAAATATACATGTGTCACTCGGGGACTGCCGCTGTAAAGCATAGCATTGTTTATCAACTTATGCAATTATAATTATTTATTTATTTTATTTATACAGCATTTTACGCGTACAGCTATTCACTGTTGTACTTAGATGATAGATACCTATAAACCTACTAGCTGACTCGGCGAACTTCGTACCGCCCAAAAGTAATAATTTGCAATAAATTAAAATTGCGACTATAATTTGAGATTTAAACTATTCTATCTCTCAAGTTGGATCGAACTGCACATGGTGTGCGAATTTTATTATAATCGGTTCAGTGGTTTAGGAGTCCATTGAGGACAAACATTGTGACACGAGATTTATATATATTAAGATATACTTTCTCACAAATAGCTCGTACGTATTCGTCCGATTTCGGAGCAGCTCGTCTCGATCTTCATACAGTCATTCGCCCGGATAGCGAAGGGTGCGCGTTCGAGTACCGTCTGCTGCCTGGTCCGCGTGGAATTTTCTCTAGTAAAATTTTCTTTCGATTCGCAAGGACATCAAAACTTAGGGGAATACCTGGTCTTCCTTTGGAACCGGTTCAGTGACAACACTCTATTATGGTTAGAGGATACCATGACTGAACTTGATACTTAAGTATCATTGTACTCAACTTATAATTTTTCATGTTAAAAAGGTTACACACAAGCTTATGGCCCGCCTGACCTGATGGTAAAGCGGTCACCAAAACAATAGCCTATGAACTGGCGATACCAAAAATATCACTCGCATCGTTCGTCATCATCATCAACCTATCAATGTCCCCACTGCTGGGGCACAGGCCTTCCCTATGAATGGAATAGGGAGATTGGACCATGACGCGGGCCCAGTGCGGATTGGTGGGTGCTAACGACTGCAAATGCTTAACGTGCCTTCCGGAGCACGGAGGAGCTCGAGATAGTAAATTTTTGGTCACCCATCCAATAACCGACCACTGCGAAAGTTGCTTAACTTCAACGATCGCAGCCGAAAGCGCTAACCACTTGCGCCATCGAGCTCCTCAGCACTCGCATCGTTGTCTACGTGGAACTTTACTTACCGACAGAAATACAACACCACCAAGAGTTATTGTTATTTTACTGTAATTTTCTGTAAGGTGGAGGTCTTTACTTCGACAGACGGGCGCTAGAATTCGTGAGGGAGATTCCCTGTGGCCCTACCTCTCGTAAATACAGTAAAACCCGTTTAAGACGATTTAACAGGGACTCAACCAAAACGCGTCTTAAGCGGGAGAGCGTATTATGCGGGATTGCGGGATAGGGAAATTTCGAATGCATGTATTGAGATATTAAATGTACAATGGTGTCAATTCTGACATGAATCTCTAAACAGTGGCGGCGCTAGGCGTCGGCGACGTCGGCCACCGCCGACGGCCTCGCGCCTAAGGGGGCCTCGCAAATAAATTGTACAAGTTACCTATTTATTTTCGTTTCTCCAGGCCTGGCTTAGGTAGCCGACCCCGAACAATTCGGGGAAAAAGCTAAGCAGATGATAATGACTTTTATTATTTTCGAACACGCGCGTGATGGAAGCGAGTAGTACTTTACGGGTATTCAGAATCGTCTGTCTGGCAACACTATTTTTGTAATTAAATTTCTATGTTTGTTATTATTTTTTGTCATCATTTGATTATCAACAATAAAACTCGTTTACTTATACGTTATTTTGTATTTTGGCTCACTTAATTTAACGGTTTTTAACTGCGATGTAAAATAGGCCTCGCGAACTTGATGTCGCCGACGTTCACATGTGGTCTAGCGCCGCCACTGTCTCTAAACCTAAAATTAAATTTGACAAAAGTGTGTATCCTTCTCATTCTCTATACGTAATGAAAAGAAGAGATTGATGTTAAATTTAGTTTTAAGTTTAGAGAATCACGCCAGAGTCGACACCACTATTTAACAACTATGTATATTATAGAAAATGTAGTTTTTTATTATTTAAATTATTCACTTATTTTAGTTTTCTCAAAAAGTTTTTGAGGCATTAGCAATAACAAGATTTTCAACATATTTTAAGTTTTGCAGTGCGTCTTCGCTTTGACTCTAAGAAGTTACATAGCGTCGTAAATCATTAACTGCAGATAATGCCTGAGCGTGTGATAAAATCAGAGTTTTTATTTTATTATATTTTTATTTTTATTTGGGAAACATACAATATTTTATTACATTTAGATAAATTAAGTATAGATTAACATACATCAACAAAGTTTCCACTAACAATTAGTACAGTTATTAGCAGCTGTGTATTTTAAATTAAATAAAAAACAAGCAAAAAAAAAAACAAAGTAACAGAGAAGTTTACACAAATCAAATTGAAAATAAATAAATTTTAATAATAACAGTTCATTCATTCAATTACATCATTTAAAATTTTTTTGTATTCATTAATTCCATTTTTAAACATATCAATAAAATAAAATTTACTATTATACGAATCACAGGATCGGTACAAAAATGTATTTACAATAAGATTCAGTGTTCCCGAAAAATAAGTCAATATGAATACAGTCAAAGTACAATATAGAAGAGCAAGATCATCCGCGATAGTAAACGAAATACAGTTTAAAAATAATTTGATAAATAATAATTTAGTGAACAAATTAATAAACAACACAAACAGCGAGGTAATTCTTATTTTATCTTGTTTAAATCTCTGACACAAGAAACATGTATAATTGGACTAGTAGCCGACTGTCTAGCCATAATGGCGCAGTTCTTCACCCATACGTACTTTTAATTCTTTTCTTTGGCCAAAGTTTTAGTTTTTTTCAATATTTCCTTATTGCTACCTGTGAGGTGATCATTGAAATAAATATTGGTATTGTTACCCGTAAATCCAATATCACAGGCCTTCAATTTAAGTTTTCTTAAATGGGACAAAAAGTCATCCTTCTTATAGCGTGCCAGGAATTTAACTACAATTGGCTACATTTGTTTATTATTATCATCCTTAGTTTTTGGAGCTACTCTGGTAACAAAATCGATATCTGTGGAGGTGTCAAGCTGAAATCTGTCTGATCGGCGATGTACTGAATCAAATGGACCAAGTTTTCAGCCTTTTTTTCCGGAACGCCGTAAATTTCAATATTTGATCGCCTGGCCCACTGTTCCCTATTATTGTTTTCAACTGCTAAAGTCTCCACACGCTGTCTTACTTCACCAAGATTGGAAGAAATTGAAGTCGTAGTAGTCTTAGATTCATTTTCTAATGCTCCAATTCTCTTCTTCATATCCTCAAAGTCAGAGTTAATAAAGGTCAGAGACTCTTTCATTTGTGATATCTCATTTTTGACAATGCTAAGTTCAGAAGACACTACTTGTTTCACTACTGACTCAATAACTTGCCTAAGCTTTTGCATTTCAGTTGTAAATAAATCTCTCAGAGATTCGGCACAGTTACAGTTAGTTTTCGTATCTGTCATTTTACCACATTGAATGGAACCTCCTCTACGAAATGTTATATTATCGGGAC